TTACGTTGTTTGGAAGAATGGTTGGATTCCTGTTCATATTATACAGATGTGACCGATAGTTTAGTAGTTTCTTCTCTCTTTCTGTTAGTATATAGGCTAGAGCCAGTTTGGTGATAGCAGACCTATTCCCATATGTTTCTTCATCGCTTAGTAATAATAAAGCTCTGTTCGAGCAATAATAATAAAAGATTTGGTTGTATTTGTGATTTGTACGATGCCGTGTTATGATCAAATTTGACTGTTGTGTGGGCGATAGGTGCTTATCCTGTTGAGAGTGAAGATCGTAAAATGGAGATGGTTTTATTTGTCCCAATAGATGAAAGTGATAGAGATCCTAATATACAATTTGTTTTTGAAAAGAATGAATATTATAGTGTTGGTGGGAAGGTTGTGACTAGATACTATAATAATAACTTGAGATTAAAAGTAATTGTTAAAATTTGTATTTCATTTATCATTATAATAAGTATTATGAGTAGTGATCTGAACCGAAAAAATTTTCTTAATCAGTTAACTGAACTGAATTATTTCATTCAACCGATTGCCAACCGGTTAAGATTAACTATCTACTACCGTTGAAAATTTTCAGAGCTTTACTCAAATTTTTGTCTTGTCTTTATGTTCATTCATTTTCTTTCAGAACTTTTCAGACCCTTTACTTTCTCCTTACATCATTTTCATACTATTTCAATTCCGCCAACTGATTACCCAATTCTCAACCAGTTGTATTAGGTAAACCGATTAAGAATTTCCTCAACTGGTTAATCGAAATTTATTCTGTTTATGTCGATTAACCGATTATAGCCCAACCGATTCAAATCACTAATTATGAGTGATTAATAGCTTTTTAATTTTTTGGGGTTTGTATATATAGATGACTGTCGCAACATCAACTCATCTTATGATTAGATCTTGGATTAAATAAGTATCTATTGAAAGTTTCATTAGTTGGTATTATTCAAGATACAGCGAAGAAAGTTAATGATGAAAGTGCAATAGTTAAAGTGTTAGTAAAGGATTACATTGGTCAAAATAGTAGTTTCATTGTTAAGATTGTATTTTTATATCATAATAATCAGTTCAAGTATCTTACGAATTCTGTCTGCCCAAATGAGTCTGTGCTTTTTTGTTATTGGACAGATTGAAGTTGTACAAGGAGATTTGTACATATATGCTGTTGAGACTTGTTACATTGATGCTTTGTTTTACAGATAAGAAAAAGGGGTTTAGTTTAAATAATTTGGGATTATATAAGTCAGTTTGATCAAAGCTTTTAACTGTTTATCAAAATGCTAGAATGAATTCTTCTGGTGGATGTGTAACTAAAGACAATATTAAAGGTGATGAATCAATTCCGCATGTAATTGATTTGTCTGCTTCTGATTCGCATTTATCAAAACGTGTAAAGATAGTAAATAAAGTTGATAATTCTAGATTAGTTGACTTAAATAATGTTGATGAGTATGTGATGGATATATTGAATTATAATGATGAATGTAAGAGAAAGGTTTGTAGTTGTGAAAAGGTGAATAAAGGAAAGTCTAGTTCTTCTATAGTGCATAATACAAGAAGTCAAGCCAGGATGCTTAAAAATGTAAACGATAATGATGATTATTAGTTCTGAATTTTTATGATTTGTTTTTGTTATATGTATTAATATTTATTAATCATTAATAAAAAATGTATTAACATTAGTACAGTTTATTTGATTAAACATCACATAAATGAAATAAAATTATATATAGATGCATATTAGTATATTGAAGTTAACAAAGTTTAATATATAAATCTTTAATAGGAAAAATTTTTATTTTCAGATTCATGTGCATAAATACATACAAATGTGCATGAATGTGCATCAGCTCATCTTTAGTTAAAACTTATATTCTATTAGAGTTAGATTTTTTTATGAATATGAAGATATCTAATCCTGGTGGTTTGAAGATAGAAGCTTGATTTTATTTTTAATTATAGATATTAATTACAATTTATAATGATATATAAATTATTTAGTTTATATAAATGAGTTAGAGTTCAAGATTATAATTATTTTAATTTTTGTATATTATTTTGCATTAGGCTATACATGTAACTGTTTAGTTATTTCTGAATATTCTTTGAAGCACTCAATTTCTTTTTTAAGATTAGGATCAATAGTTATATTATGTTTAGATTTGTTGAAAGGTTGAAGTATTATAATATTTTCTAATTTTTATATAAACATTAGCTTTTATCTTTCTACTATCCAAGTCAATAATCACTTTTTTTAATGTAGTGTCCTGATATTTAAATTCTGAAATAGCAAAAGCTAAAATGATAGGTAATTGGGTTTTTTGAAATTTTCAGCTTATATTTGATCTATTTTTTATTTTAAGTATGTATTTGCATTTTCTTTTAATAGAATATATCAGTATATTGTTCAGAGGAAGATTGTCTTATAAGTTAGGTTTATGGATTAAGAGTTCTATTATTATATATTTAGGAGGTTTATTAAAATGAAAACCTTTTCTTCTTCATTATTTATATTTTTTTTATTGGTAATTCAATTTCATATATAATTTTACAGAGTATATCTTGGGCACTATTTACCATACTATCACTAGTGCAAATATTTATTGTTAGTTTTACTTTTATACCTAATGATAAAAGTAATATTTTTCACATAGCAAATTAGATTTTGTATCTGATACACTTAAGAATTTTTATTGTATATTACTATAAACTGATTTATTTTTGTATATATCTTTAGCATATATATAATAAATTGATGATTATAATTTTTTGTATATTTAATTGTAGCTTTAAAATTAATTTGAACTTGTAGATTATTCTTCAAACCAAAAATATTACATCTTACCATTCTGACAAGTTTATTTAGTTTCTGTTTTTATATAATTATAAAAAAATATCATACTGAGTTGTGTTAGATGGTTATATCTTAAATTATTTAATAAATATTAAATCTTTAATCTAGTGCATTTGTTTTTAAAATAATTATATATTTTATTGATTTTCACAATTCTTTACTGATTATATTAATTATTATTCATATATTAATAGAGTTTGTAATTTGCATTAAATTTTTGTGAATTTATAGTTTTGTTAATATTATTAGGTTTGTATAAAGGATGGTCAAGTACTGGTGGAGGTTGCAGAAAATCTTTAGCAAAAATAATATTCATACCAACAAAAGGTATAGTATCATTTTGAAAATCTTTGTCTCTCTAATACATGTATCCAATTGTATTATAAGTTTTTGTCTCATTATAAAAACTTTATCTAAAATTATATATTTGATATTTGTTCAGCATTTTTTAAGTATTTTTTTTGATATCTTAATTGAAAAGTTATAACTGTCATTATTGTCATCAAATTTAAGTCTATATAAAGAATGAAGAATACACTTACTGATATTAGATACAGCTACACTAGTTGGTGCATAAGAATAAGGTTTTTCTCTAGCCTATTTAGTCAAAGTATTCACAAATTGCTTTAATTATTTTTAATTTTTCTATACCTCTATACACCTAAGTATATTAGTAACTAAAATAGTTTGTTAGGATTATTAAAGTAACTTTGTTTACAATGATTACAAATAAAAAAAGCTCATTTTTGTTTATCATTAAGTTGTGCTAAAATTTTTTGAAGTATTAATTGTGAAATAGACAATTTTTTTAATTAAATATATAATTAGAAGATCTCAAAATGTGGACTTTTTCAAAATTTGTTTTATTATTTACTTATACTGCTTGTTTTTTTGATGTTATAGTTTTTGTCATATATTAATCAAATTATTATCCTTTTTGCAAGAGAGTTACACTTGGTTAATATTAATTTATTTTTGAAAGTTTGATTATTCTGTTTTTTTTATTATTGAATTTATTGTTAAGATGTAAATAAAGTATAACATTATTGACAAATTTAATATTACTTAATCTAAAATATATAATCATGTATAGATCTAATGAAATTAAACTGTTATTATTAAAATTATCTTGGTTTTTTAGTATTTCTGTATTACCAGAAGTAGTGTTCGAAAACAGATTAAAAATCCCGGTTAATCCGGGATTGATCCGAATCCGATCCAAATCCGTAATTCGGATTGAATCCGGGAGTAATTCGTGCCAATCCGACGGTTTGTCACATATATTTGTCACAATATAAGTGATAAATTAGAATTTATCATGTGACAAAAGCGAATTTGTTACTTATATTATGCCACAAGGTGTGATATATTCGAATTTATCACATGACAAATTCGAATTTATCACATAGAGTGATTATATAAAGACATGACCTAAAATTAGGCCCAATCCCACTCAATCCGGGCCCAATCCGACGTTTCAGGGGCCAAACCTAATCTGACAGTTTGGATCTGCACAAATCCGAATCCGATCAGTGCTAACTTTTTCGAACACTAACCAGAAGTATTATTACCTATTACTGATCTCTCTATTCAATAAATTTTTGCAATTTTTAAATGTTTACAAACTATTTGATGTAATTGATGGTCTAAAATAATTCTTCTGTACATTAATACAAAAGTTCAATATTATTAATTATAAATTATAATTGTATTAATAAATTTAAATTCTGTAAAAAAGAATCACATGCTTTATATTATGAATTATGTCTAGTTATTAACTCATTTGTATTAATCCATAGTTTAAAGAGTAGAAGAATACAAAGTTCATAACATTCTGAATTTTCTAAATTGTCTTTATATAGTATACCTTTTCTATATAATATAGATATTTTTTTATTATTATAGTACTAATAGATTTGCATATATGTTAAATATTGTAGATATATAATACTATGATTACAGGTTTCATTACATTTTTTACTTTATCTAAAAATAGAAATTGATCAACTTTTGTTATATATTTCTCTTGATTTTGTCTATTAAGTTTGTTTAATTTATTATTATTAATTTTTATTTTGTAAATTGTTAAAATATAGTTATAAAGACATATATTTTCTAATTGTTTATCACAATTCATATAGTCAATTTATAAATTTATAGCATTTATTCTCCTTTCTGAGTTTATTATTGGAGATATTTCATCAGCAGTAGAATTTCAATTATTTTCTTAATATAATTCATCTTCACTATTATTTATATTTGAATTTGAATCTAAATCTTCCAAAAGTATTAATTCAGATAAATTTTTAATTAGATATTATAAAGTTAGATATGTTTCAAAAAAATTAAAATATATTAATATAAATATATTTGGTATAAAATAGTTTTCAAATCCTATGGAATATGCAGATATTTGGAATTCAGTTATTTCTGTTTATTCAACTATTTTATTAAGACACATAATAATAAGTTTTTATGATCTTGATATTAATTTATCTGAATTAGATACTTTAGTAATAAATATATTTAAAGTTATAGCAAATATAAGAAATGAATTATAGTATTCATATCAGATTTCATTATATAATCTGTAATATAATAGATTTAAATAAGTGCAAATTTAACAGTTGCAATAAATCTGATGTTATTATTTTTATAATAGCTTGTAATAATATAGGAATTATAGATGCTAAATTGCAATAATTTTAAGTTTAGAATAAATATTGCTTGGTGCTTCTACTAATTCATGAAGAAAATCAAAATGGCAATTAGATATTTGCCTACAATAGTATTTTTTACATAATTTAGTACATTTATGAAATAATATATAATTTGCAATATTGAGAATATTCTGCTAAAATTTTTCATCAAAGTCTAGAGATTATAAATCAGAAATAGATAAAATTGATAAGTGCATTCTTTTTTCTAAATTAGTTTTGAGAGTTTTATATTCAACATATAGTATTTAATCAATTAAGTAATTGTTATCAAAAAGAGATAATTAATAATGTCATTTAAATAAACCATTAATTAATTTCTAAAATCTTTATATTTAAGATAATCTCATAATTAATAGGATTAAGAGCACCTTGAATTCATATTAATATATAATAGTAGGATATATTATGATCTTAATATTTTGTTACTGCATAATAATTCTTTATTTCATCTATTATACCACCATCTGGTTTTTTATAACCAAGAATAATTTTAATTATTTTTTTATTAAGATATTATAATACTTTGCTACTGCAGTTGGATCAAGGTGAGCTAATTTAGTTCTTTTTGTTATTGTTGAAAATTTTTTAAATGTAAAGAATTAAGTTAATTTCTTTTCTTATATATATCATTACAATCAGGTTGTGAAGGTTTGCAGGATTAATAGTTATAAACATAGATAATAAACCATTTTGTACTATAACAGTATAAATCTTATTATACAAATGTTTTAAATTAATGTAATTCTATTATGTTTCAACTAACAATATTTACATTTTTTGGTAATTTAAGTATTGCATTATTTGCTATTTGTTGTTAATTTTGTTCTAGTAAAATTGCAACTTTTATATCATTACATATAATAATAATATCACAATACCATTAATAGACATGTCTGAAATAGTTATGATACAATTTCCTGAAAGCCATTTACCTGACAGGTCACTTACTCGACATCACAAGGGTGACAAATTGCTAAAAATATATACCTGCAGCTAATCAAATGCTAACCTTAACTCTATGTGATGTTGGGT